CATCTTAATAAGTATCTTTTTCAACTCAGCTGAGAAAAGCCCACACAAGTTTTATCCTCACTTCTTAGGATGGCTTCTGATTTCCAAAAATGCCAAGTGGCCAAGAGGACACTGCTGGCCTAGGTGGAGCATTCATAGATGGCTCTGATTAAATTGGGGAAAAGAGCAATCCCTGAGGAGCAGGGAAACTGGCAGCAGCCATAAAATCTGGGTGTTTCATTAGAGCCCCTTTTCTGTGGAGCATAGGAACACACATCTCAGCATTGATGTTAATGGATTTTAAACACGTGCCTAGGCATTGTGATGAGCAGAGCTGATGTGTTAACATGAGAGTCTAAGAGAACTTTGCCTTTTTCATGCACCAGAAACACATTAAAATCAATGTGTTTATGCATCCATGCATGTGAGGAAGGAGAGTTACCCTTCAAAAATCCACACATTTTATCATTAGAGTATATTCTAGGTAAGCAATTCTAGGCATATTCTAGGCACTTTGGCAGTTTTGACCCTCTTCCCACATTTCTTCACTTGGAGAAGCTTATTGTTTTTCTCTTTCTGTCACTAGGCAAAATATATGATGCCAGGTGCTAATACAAACAAACAAACAAGCAGAGGGAGAAAAAGAGAGAGAGAGAGAGCACAGAAATGTTTCTGATTTGGCATGTAACAAATGACCTGGAACCTCTTTTGTGATCTTAGCAAACGGCGAGAGGACTGGGAGCGATCAATCTTCATGCGATTAAAGGAGGGAGGCTACAGGCTGCGGGAGAACATCCTGTTCCATCTCTACGTGAGCATCTCACCCTGTGGAGACGCGCGCCTCAACTCCCCCTACGAAATCACAGCTGACTGTAAGAAAAACACATCTTCCCTCTCCTTTCTCTCCTTTGCATGGGTTTTGTCGTTTTGTTTTTTTTTTTTTGTAAAGATCAGCCCTGTCTCTTTTTGCAGGCAGAAAGTGTTTCACTGGAGGGCAAAAACACTGTGGACTTTGTGGAGTCTGCATGTCTCTACAAATGGTGCTTGGTCCCATGTGCTGGGGGAATGTGTGCAGGGAAAATCAGAGCTGGGCAAGGCAGTGATATCAGTGTCATATGATATGATATATGATATGATATAGCATATCTGTAGTGTTGATTGATGGTCAGACCCTCTCCAGATATAACCTGCACGTGCAGCAAATAATGTTAAGACAGTTATGGAAAGTATCCTTCCCAGGCCATCCTGCCTATGTCAAATCAACTGCATGGTCACTACTTGGCAGATGGGCTAGTTCACCAGGTCAGCCTTGGATCCCTGCACCCATACCCATGGCATTTAAGCAAACACATGCTTTTCCAGGGATTTCTCCTCTAGGGGTGGTCCTACAAATGAGGGAAACAAATCAGGTCTTGAGCCAGGATGTGCCACCAACAGACCTGCAGAGCTTGTTGTCCATGACAACGTATGCAAGGCAAAAAGCAAATTGACAAATTCCTAATGAGGTAACAAAATTAAGAGACATAGCATCATCTCAAAAACAAAATAAAATAGGAAGTGCTTATGAACATCAAAAAACAACAATGATTTTTGGTCTCCCACTTTATAGGTATTTCAAGAGATATATAAAAAGGCTTTCTATTTGGTGAAAGGCCCTTGTGTTTTCCAGAAGGCAGACTTCCTGGGCATCCCTTACTCGGCATCACAAGTGGAAGCACAAAAATCTGTAATTATTTTTAAAGTGTGCACCATTCTTGAGAGCAAAGGCTGTCCAGGCTGGTTCTTGCTCTTCCATGCATGAGGAAGCAGGTGCTTTGGGCAGCTGACAGCCAGTCCTGCCTGTTGGTAGGCAGCTGAACCCAGCCCTGGAGGTGAGCCCTGCTTGGCTCATCGATTGCTTCAAAGAACACAGAAATCTCCCAGCTCATCAGGAAATGCTACTTTAGATAAAATACATACAGAAAGCTGTGTTTAAAAATATATAGTCACACAATACCTGACACACACAGTAAACTTGTAGATAATCACCAAAATACTTTTCCTAGTAGTTATTCCACCAGTTATAGTCCCAATTGAGAAGCTGAGGCAGAAAAGGGTGTGTGGCTTTGCCAAGGTTACACAGTGCTTCAGTAGCAGGACTCATAATTCACTCTTTTAAACAGATGCCTCTGCCTTTGTCCTGCACTCATAAAATAATTTAGCACGATGTAGAAAGCCATGTTTCCAAAAGCTGTACTTCAGCGAGGTAAGCATTTCCTTTTAGCTCACATTATCCCAGAATCATCTGGGAAGATAAGTATTTTATGTTTATCATTGCGATCTTCTCTTTCCTTTTTTTCTTCCTAAAGAAATAACCTTTCTTTCATCCAGTAATGACAAGAAACTCCAGATGAATGCTGTTTCATTTCTTAAACAACAAAGAAGCCTCTCCTAGAGCTAGCACAAGCCATCAAACATTACTGATTATTCTCTAAAGATGCATTAACATTTAAAAACGGTGTCTCGCCATGTGGTTGCGATCTTCTCTTTCCTTTTTTTCTTCCTAAAGAAATAACCTTTCTTTCATCCAGTAATGACAAGAAACTCCAGATGAATGCTGTTTCATTTCTTAAACAACAAAGAAGCCTCTCCTAGAGCTAGCACAAGCCATCAAACATTACTGATTATTCTCTAAAGATGCATTAACATTTAAAAACGGTGTCTCGCCATGTGGTTTCTGGTTTTGAGAAGGAATATGATAAGCCTTTATCAATATAGGGAATGAGTAAAATCCACTTTTCAAATCCCCTTCCAAAAATTTCCTATTATCCACCGTGTCTTTCCAGCACCCTCAGGGAGGCCTCACATTTCCTTCTTATGCGCTTTGTTCTGGTGAGGGAGGAGGTAAGCCAGCATGCATTTGAAACCCAGTTTACTTCTTACCGAATAGAGCAGGTCACCAAGTTAGTGGCATAAGTAGAAGTCTGACCTTCCCTTCATAAGAACAGCTGCAATGCAGAGGAGAGGTCCAGGGACCCCACACCCAAAGCCAGGTTCATGCAGGAGAGTAAGAGATTAGGGACAAAGAGAGAAAAATTACACTTTGATTTGCAGAGATGCCCTTCTTGGATCAGAGGCAAGGTGACTTGTTTGTTGATACATCCTTAGGCAGCTCTCAAAGAAAGACAAAATCCAGTTGGACCAGGGCTGCTCTGAGCATGAGGGGATTTTCTAACTCCTGTTTGGTGCCTGTAAGTCAGGAGGTTGGAGGCACTTATGGGGTAACCAAGTGAAGCTGAAGCTTTGGAAGAGTCAGGTACAACCTGAGAGAGATGAGGAGGAGGCTGGGGGAGAGGGACTGGAGTAGGTGAGAGCAGGAGAGTAGACCAGCCACAGTCAGTGGCATGGCTGGAATAGGAAGCTGGAAAATGCCAGAGGGGGGTCAGACAGTTGTGAGAGGTTTTACAGGTTTGTCCTGTCTCATTCTGGCCAGTCAGTCTCCTTCCCAAGACTGTTTTCATCATTTCCCAAGGTCAACCTCAAGGTTATAGCACAGCTATATGGCAAAGAGACAGCATGTTTCCAGTATCTTCACAACTTTCACTTGTCCTTCACACAGTCAGCTCCTGTCCACACGTCAGTTCAGTGCAGGAGGTCAGGGAGCCTGGGACATCTCCCTTTCTGGTACCTTCTCCCTTTGTGTACATCTGAGCAAAGTGTGCCTGGATTTCTGACTTCTCCTGAGGAGAGTATCACAGTACCACGTTAAAGTGGGTTTCCCAAGGGTTCTAAGGGGACTGATGTTTCCCATTACAGCACACACACTCCAGCTCATGAGATGAAGCCGTGGGGGCAGCTAGTCCTGTATTATTTGTTGCATATTTTACACTTTCTTCTGAATCTAGGGCAAACCACAGAATAATCAAGTCCTTGATTTGCTAAAGCACCATCCTAGCTAATTTAGTGCTTCTTCACTCATTGGCTTTTTTTTCAAGTCTCTTGAAAAGCAAAGTGAATTGCTTAAAAAATTGAGCTGAAAAAATGCTATGCTTCCCATTCCTCCTTCTCTAGAAGGATTTTACCTCATTGTCCACCTTTTTTTCTAAAGATGTGCTCTCTCTTTTTCACTACATGGATTGCCAAAGAGGCAGAATCTGCCTCAGGGCTTGTCTCAATTCTTCTCCCCTGGGCTGCTTTTCTCTCTCTTGCTAACATGCCGTATTGCCTTGTGCCATTGACTCCTTGATAGCCCAGTTCCTGTTTTATCCCATGCTCCCTTTAGGTCTGAAACACACCATTGCATCTGCTCCACATGGGGTCTTCCTCCTGCTTGCCTATTAACCTACAGCTGTGCTGAAGCTCTCATGCACACACATTTGACAGAGCTCTCATCTAAGCAGGATCCACTTGCAACCACGTGAGCCAGATCATTGCCTTGGTAGGTGATGTGATGAGATGTGCACTGCAGTTTTCCAGGAGTTGGGGCACTGAACAGTACACAAGAAGACAAGTTTGTGCTCTCTACTTCAAGTGTGCTTTCACTGTGCAAACCTGTGCTTTCCCTGCTTGTGATTCTGGCTGCTGGATTTTACATTCCATTCTCAGAAGAAATGCTCACTGTTAACCCCAAAATCCAGGGCTGCCTTGAAGGGTTGCCCTGCTCACACTGTGAGTTTGCCCTGCTCACACTGCACTGTGTTCAGATGGGGCTGACCCAGATCACATCACTATGTCATCCCCAGATCAGATCCCTGAAAGTCATAGCCTGAGCAGACAGGATGGAAAGGGCCAGATTCAAACAGAGCCTTCTATGGAGCCACGTGATCTCCTACAACTGTCAGGAGACTCTCAACCCCAGAATTCAGCATTCAGGGTCCTGCAGGCAGCTGTCTAGACCAAAGACAATGAGGATGCTTATGGCAGCAACCAGGCTACAATCACTCCCAAAACCATTGTGTTTGTGGAACATTTCTGGATGTGCAAGAGGAAGAAACTTCTGCCTTCCTTTTGCCAATCCCATGTTTTGTTTAAACAGACAATTATGTTCTTTCGAGTAGATGGTAAAGGGGGAAAGCGTTTCAAGAACCATCTAAGTAACTTAGTGATCTGAAAAGAAATTAGATATCTGTAACTACAAGAAAATTCAGTTTCTAACAAATTGATGTACTCTTCCAATACAAAATCAAAGGTACCCATAGGTCATGCCTTGGGCTTGGACACAATTATTTGTTTCCATTGTACAAGCTCTGCCAGGTATCACATCTCTCCATCGTGGCTGCTGGTTTGCTGCAGCTTGAGAAACCATCTTGGAAATTTGTAGTCACTCAGTGCATGGAGCAGCTTCCTCCTAGGTTGTAAAGTTGATTTTTTGCTGATGAATGGTCCATCTGTGGAACTGGGATGAAGGTGCATTATTTTCCTATTTCTCATATGACTGAGCAGAACAATACCTTGGGGGATCTCAGAAAAAAATTATCATAACCATGCCCAGAAGTAACTTGAAAGAAAAAAAAATGCATGCACCACTGTAGGCTGTAGTGCTGAACACTGCCTCAGGAGAAATAATCCTAGCACTGGATGAATTATTGTGGTCAGTGCAGATTGCTTTGTCATGTAAAGGATGCTGCAGAAATTGCAGATACAGCACAAGGCTGTTGGATTACTTCAGGGGCTACGGAATTTGTTTTAAAGGAGGTGAAAGGAAATTGTCCATTCACTTCATAAAGACTGGACTTGGATATATCCTAAAGTTTTGGGTTCAGGTGTGGGCACAGCACCCTTTGTCAGCCTCCTTTAAGATCAAGTTCCACGGAAGCAACGACACCTTCCTGCTTGTGCCACTGACACAGCCTCAATTCACCAGGGTAAATACAGAGGAAATGCAATGACTTTC